ATCCGTCGGTATATTCAAGCGGGAATCCTTTTTTTTTTTGCGGGCAAATTCTGTCTGTAAAATCATCGCCAAATGATTTTTTTTTGTTTTTCCGACCGATATAACGATGAAATGTTGAATCACCAACAAAAGGTAACCCGATAGACGTAATTAATTTAAAAAATAAGTAAAAACAAAAATAAAATAGTAATAAAAAAACATGGATCAAATTTAAAAGATAAAAAAAAAAGTAGGGTAAAATTTAAAAATACACGTTAATTTTATAGATTATTAAAAATTAAAATAATAATAATAATAACAATAATAATAATAAAAAAATTGACCAAATCTAAAGAACCAACAAGTTAAATGGTTGTTTTTTAATGTTTAAGGGATTGTCATCAAAATCTAAATAGAAAGAGAGAAGAGGAAAAAAAAACACTTATACCAAACTATTATGAATTGTAGCACATGCACAGTCTCATTAGGTAGAAGACATTAAGACCTTCCGCTTTAAAAATATAGTGTTTAATAGTTGGATGACTTCACATAATAACACGAGAGTCATCAATATATTGACACGTACAAAACACATATTATTTTTTAAATTATATTTAATAAATATAATTTACAGTAATACCTCTTGGTATTCTTGAAATTTATATTAAAAACAAAGTAAAATAACAAAAAAAGCTATTGAATGAAAGTTTAATTGGTTTTGTTTTCAAGAATATCAAAATAATTATATTATTTTATAAAAAATAAAAATATAAAAATGCCCGTGAGTATTATACATTGAATTATTTTATTTAATGATTAAGTAAGTAATTTTATATAACATTCAGATACAAAATAACCAAAGTAACACCACACAACTTTCAAAAAATATTTATATCATAGTCAAAATACCTCTGTTTCCCCAAAACCGAAGCTAAGTTAAGAGGTTAAATAATGGAGGGAAAATATAATAATTACAGCATTACAACAATAGAATATCCCGAGACACCATAACTTCACGATCAACTTTGGTTTTTTCCAAATAATAAAATTTGACAAGCCACCTGTGAGTTGTGTTTGCCACCGTTACCATGCCAATGCAAAAGCTGAGCACACGTAATGTCGGAACACAAGACACCTGTTCGTGGTCGGTTGCTTTTGCCTCTTCTCTCTTCGCTTTCTCCTATAAAACTAAACCAGATAAGCAAAAGAGAGAGTGGTTTCGATGCTACTTTCTTCAATCGAGATGAGCAAACAGGCTGCGCTTAAAAAGGCCAAGGAGCTTGCTTCCTCTGCTCCTGTCGTTGTTTTCAGGTTTTATTACCATCATAATTTACAATTACAAAACTCTTTGTTTATATCTCTTGATGGTTATGGTGTGATTTAAGATATGGCTACTTGTTATTTTTTTTGCAGTTATATTTTATCTTTCTGTGTTTGTTTTTCTTTTTCCTTTTCTTTTCTTTTTTTTACCTTTTTATTATGATTTGTGAGCTTTTTCTTCACGCAGCAAAACCTATTGCGGTTATTGTAATAGGGTGAAGCAGTTGCTGACACAGGTGGGAGCAACTTACAAGGTCATTGAACTGGATGAGCTAAGTAAGATTACTGTGTTTTTCTTGTCCTTTTCTTTTTCTTTTTAATTTTGCTATAGCTTCTTGTTTGATCCTTTGTTCCAGTTGTTATTTGTTTTTTTGATGAAAATATTAGTTTTCATATTTCATATTTGATTTTACAACCAAAAAAAACAAGTTTCTTTTACATCGAATACGTACGAGTAAGAATCTTCTGTTCAAAAGGTGGTGGATACGAACTTCAATCAGTACTAGGCCACTGGACTGGGCAAAGTACAGTACCTAATGTGTTCATTGAAGGGAAACACATTGGTGGTTGTGACTGTGAGTTTTTTTCCCTTGTTGTTACTTGCCTCTCTAATTTCCATGGCCTCAGTTAATATGACGAAAAATCCATTAACGATCATATCTTTTTCAATGCACTTCCACTTTTGCTGTTGTAGCTGTCCTGGAGAAGCACAAAAACAACCAACTCTTGCCACTTCTCAATGATGCTGGTGCTGTTGCTATCAACTCTGCCCAGCTTTGATTAAACATCTGTGAGACTAGATGAATCTTGTGCTAAAAGATGGAAAAACGTTTCCCACATTACCAATGTACCTCAATTCCAATCGGGGACGAAACTAAATAGAGTGTAGCATCAATAATGTTAGTATTTAATATGGGGTGATGCTTTTGTCTTGTTGTGGCTTTTGTCTTGCTGTGTTTTGATTTCTGCTGCTTCTGGATTTGTGGTTCCTCCTGGATCAAAACAGAAAATAAAATTTACTTTTTGGTGGTGCTGTGGATGGTGGCATCAGACAAAAATCTATCGTGCAATGATATTTAGATGAATATTCCCGAGAACTTGTTATGTAGCCTGGCAACTTTGTCATTGAAGTTCAGAAATAATTGATTAATATTTAAAAATATATTTTTATCAGGGTTTTATATTATTATTTTACATTTGAAATATTAATAACTCCTTAATTAAAGTATGTTTTATAATAACGTATCTAATAATATAAAAGATACCTTTAATTTATAGTAAATGTTCATTTTAAATGCAGGCTTATCACATAAATAAAAGGATTGATTGATAAATTTAAGAACTGGAATTAAAAGGACAAAGAGATGACCAAACTTAGAAAAGAAATGCCGGTGCAATCCAAACCAGAACATTGTTTGGTAATTGGGTTATATCTAGAGTTGTAAATCTCATATTTAGATCTACTTTATATGGATGGAAAGGTAGGACATAGGCCTACAACTTTCATATGGACCCCAAGATCTAAAAAGGTCATTTTCAAGTCCAAATTGTAGCAACAACAAAGAAGTCCGAATCTATCTTCTAGCCCGAGCACTGTTCAATGTTTGGCCTATATTTGGAGTTCTAGAAGTCCAAATGACCTGAATTTTTTATACAAGAAAGTTGAGACAATTTCCTACCACTTTTATGTTTTCAAGTGGCTCTAATTTTGACGTTATCAATGACGTTTTGGACAGACAAGAGAAGATAAGGATTGTCACCAAGTCAAAAGTTGGACACCAACTTATCAATTAGTCATCAAATCAATAGCTCCCAATTTTGGCCTATAAAAGGAGGCATTTGCCATGCATTTAGGCATCTTGATTTCCAGATCAAGATCATGCTCTTCCTTTCTCTCTTTGTATTTTTTGTAATGTTTATGCTTTGCTTTCATTAATATTAAGTTTATGCCTTTCATTTCCTTTCCTTTACTTAGTTAACTTTTATGTTCTTATTTTGTTTATCTATTTTGCTTTCTTTCATTATGTCTTATTTATGTTCTTATTTTGTTTATTTATTTTTCTTTCTTTCATTATGTCTAGCTAAGTTTTTTATGTTAAGATGAAAATGTTACACTAATGGTGTAAGAATAAATATAGTGTAAACTTAATATGGACTTTAATGTTTGATACTAACATATTTTATATTTGTTATCTTATTTACTCTTTAATACTTTGCTTGTTAAATTACTAATCTTGATCTATGTTGTATAACAATTGGTATAACAAATATTTGGTACTTTCATAACTCATACTATATGGTATAACTGACACCTGAGCTATGAAAAAAATTTGATTTGTTGTTAACATAAATTATAATCATAAATGTTTGACGAGATTTACAAGTATTAGCATTAATCGAATAAGATGACTAATGTAGTCATGTTAACAATCTATAATCAGATTGAAACCTCCTTTGTGTGTGATTTCCAATTAAATAATAAAAGTTTATATTATACTTGTTTGACATACCATTAATGGATCCTCTAATCTTGACATTTGTTATTATCATTATTTAATCCTTACATTAATATTCGATCTCAAAGTTCTCATTATCTTTTTCTTCTTCTCCTTCTCCTTCTTTATTATTGTTGTTGTTGTTGTTATTATTGTATTATTATTATTTGTAATTTATACAATTAACCTCCCTGTGATTCGACCCCAGTCTTGCCGGATTCCAGTCTTGCCGGATTATTTATTACTTCAACACTCCTGTACTTAGAAGAAAACATCAATCTTTTAATCATGTCAACAACCTTATCAAAATAGATTAACAGTCACTATCCCATGGATTCTTATATCTGACTAGCTCAAGTCACACACTAACTCTTGACAATTCCCTAAAAAGAAAAGAAAAAAAAAAAGCTATCATTTAAATTAATGGGAGCATAATCTGTATATGAAACTTCCCCAAGCTAAAAACAACACATTGTAACGAGCCATTTAAGTTTTGGCTGTGTAAACATTTCTGCACTAAGATGAATCGCAAGGATATTTATTTTGTTTTATTCACTGTTGAATTGCGAATGATGTGCCCGTATCAAGGTTTTTGTTCTTCCCATCTTCAACTGCTTAAGCTTGGGTAAAATTTCAGGCGACCTAAGCAACAGAATCTTCTTTCACTTTCTGCAGTTGTCAACCAGGGGGGATATGAGACAATTGGCAAAAGTTAAATTCTAAAATTCCCACCAATTCTAAACTACGTGCCACTTACATTAGACATCTCTATCCATAAATTAAGTGTATTAAGAGCTTTCCCTGATAATTGCGTCTCTCGAGCCATAACCACTCCCTCTGCTAAGCTACTAGAGCAACCACTGACAAAGAGAGCAGCTGCTGCATTTAGGATCTGAAAAATTATTATGGCATGAGAACTTAATTCACAATACTTGTTCCTTCTACCACAGGTGCATATGCAAAAAGATAAAGAACTGACTTGAAACAAAACACACAATCAAAGAAACTCACAATGGCATCAGCAATGGCGCCTTTCTCCCCCGACAGTACACGTCTTAAAGCATCTGCATTATAATAAGGGCCTCCACCTTGCAAGTCCAATAGTGTACAGCGCGGAATGCCAAAGTCCACTATCAAATGCACATTTTTGTATCAGCGATTTAAGCAATCAGAGACATCTTGGAAAACCTCCTTAATATGGAATAACTAACATGCAGTTGCTCTCCAATATAAGGCAAACCAACAAATTTATCGAAAAAACAGAGAGGCTGAACAAAATACAAGCTTGTGATGATCTCACATGGATCGAATGAAAATTTTGATATCTTCTCGGGGTTGACTTCAAGGACAACTCCAGGTCCTGCTTTCATATCATTATCAGAATATGAGACTTAAGCATGCGAATGTGGAATAACCAATGGCAGCCAAAGATAGCTTACATATCCCTTGCTGGAATAATGATATTTATTTAATGGAGGAAATCTTACCAATGGGACTCATTTCATCCAAGCCCTCTGAATGAACAACCAATGCTCTCTTCATGCCAAAGCGTTGCAATGCTTTGGCCATTTTCAGCACCTACGCAAGAACATAATAGGCAGTATGAATTAAAGGGAGATGTTCAGGTACTGCACAACCAAGCCCCCAATCCCCCAAGCAACATATCTCATGTGTTCATATACGGGTATCAATATAACAAGAGAGAGAGCGAGAGAGAGAGAGAAAGAGAGAGGCATTTTGCAAAACAAAGCCACTAAATACTTCACCCGTGTTTCTTGATACCCCTGTAGTTTCTATGTAAACTAAGTTAGCGGTATCAAGTTACAACTATGGAAAATCAAGGACAGTGCTATCAAAACACATCTGAAACCACAGATATAACAATTGCATCAAATCAGTATCTTAGGATCTTTGAGTTCAGTAATTAAACTGAATAACCTTAGGATACCTAAGAATAAATTGTAATCTTTTCCACATAATGATGACCGATAAGCAAAATTTGTTGGATAGATGATTAAATGCCACAGTTGTTACGGTTCATTATACAGCAACTCACCAAATCTTCATGGAATACACCAACAACAGCAAAGGGAACACTTGCAGGATTCAGCATAGGACCCAGTATGTTGAAGATGGTTTTGATTTTCAATTTCTTCCTTACAGGGCTGACAATCTTCATTGCAGGATGGTATTTTGGCGACATCATGAAGCCAATTCCTGCTTCATTCACACATCTTGATACCCCCTAATATCATAAAAATTGAGATTAAGCTAAATTACATGCATAGAACATGTGAATGGAATTGCATATGAATTGACATATATCTGCCTAAGCTGTGGATTATGGTTTATTATTGGAACAGCAACAAAAAGAACACAATTGGCATTATGGAAGTGACATGCCATATGAGTTTTGCTTGATGAGTCACAGTTGACAAAGTAATCCAACATGATTTGTATCATAGAAAATTTCCAGAATTTAAGAAAAAACAGAACATTAAAGTAAGAATCAAAGACGCACTATTTTCATGCCTCTGTAAATGAATATGGGCCATATAGCATATTCATTTATCAAGAAAGCTGATTGTTCATTCCAGAGCTAGATGAGACCCCCAAAGAAAGAAATACTGTTCCAAAAGCTCAAGAGTTCACCAACAAACTGTACAATAATAGGTTTCATCGGAAGAAAGACAAGGACCATGCCCTCAAGTGAATCGTTCTAAAATTCAAATAACAAAAGGAAATGAGTCAGCCTACTTAAGGCTCTAATGTACTAAAGAATGCACGATGGATCAACTGGCAACTTATAGTTTTGGTGGCCCAACTTCCAAATTAATGCTATTCGGTTAACAACTCGAGTAATGATGGAATGGGAGGAGGAGAGTAGTAGCGTGATTATAAAAATATGGTAAACACAAGCTTAATAGAGATCGGTACTCAGTTATATTATCTTATAGCATTGACAAATTGTTCTTTAAAGACCACTTTTATGCCCACAACCACTTCAAAAAACACACTGGTAAGAAAACAAACAAGCTATCCTAGAACCAAACAGCCATTAATGACTTGCATCAAAGGTGAACCTACCTCTGGGTCCAGGTCAATTACTACCCCAAGTTCTTCCAATACGTCAGCACTTCCACATGCTGAAGAACTTGATCTATTCCCTTGCTGCAAAGCAAGCAGTATCATTTAGCGCATCACATGAAATAAATCATGTGACACGGTCCATGAATTTTAAGCATAATTTCGAGGAAAATAAATTCTGACCTTGGCTACTTTAGCACCACAAGCAGCTGCAAGTATTGAAGCTCCTGTAGAAATGTTAACGGTGTTTGCACCATCACCACCCGTTCCAACAATATCCACAGCATCAACCAACCCTTCCACCTTCCTGGCATGCTTGAACATTGCCCTTGCCAATCCAACAACCTAATAGCATCAACAACCCAGGGTAATCATTATTTTCTTCTAATTATAACAGCATATTCCCATTAACAATAGTTTACTGCTCAAGTTAAACTATCATGTCTAAACATTATATTCCTTACATCTAAAGAAGGAGCCATGTGGAATATGCTAGCCTTACTTGTGAAAGG